GAGTTAATCTATTTTCGCTAATTGGTAAGGGCTCTTTTTATAGTGTGGGCACTATATTATAAATACTCCTCAAATTATTTGCCTTTTTTTAGTTGATTATTTTACTGTCCAGAAACCTAAAATCTTTATGCAGTCAAATCAAACCCTTTAGAAAGTAATTCCTACCTTTACTATCATCCATTTAAAATGCCTTCCCCTTCATTAAGATTATGTACACATTCATCTACATTCTTCCTACTTTTTACCTTCCACTTAATCTTTAATCCACAGGATTTTCCTCACATATTTAGCTAACTATACCAACACCAGATTCAACACTTTCAGTAATACGTATTATTGAGTATGTACTTAAAAAGTCACCTTTATTATATTCTAATGTTTAAAAATTAGTAGTAGGCTGTTTTAATTACTGTGGCTTTGGAAATATTTTAAAACTCACTCATGCAAATAATTCACATCACATTTTTTTTGGGGGGGGACAAAAATCTGGTTTATTCCTTCAAGTGAACATTAGAAATACACTGTCAGGTTTGACAAAAAGAAAAAAATACCAAACTTTAATTGGAATTGTATTCAATGATGAAGAGAAAAAATTTTATTTTGGTGAGGGAGAATGTGTAACTCTAAAACATTAACTCTTCCCATCCACAAATATGGAATATTTCTCAAATTGCTTTTATGTCACTTAGTTAGGTTTCATAGTTTATGTCATATGTTAGTTCTATAGTTTACTTAAGTCCTTTAGTTTACCTTGCTAGGTGAATTTCTTAAGAATGGCTGAAGATCTTTTTCATTTAATTGTACTACTATAAGCAGGATCTTTAAAAATTTATTTCTATTTGTGTTGGTATAGAGGAAAATAATTTTTGAATTTATTTTTAACTAACCATTTTACAGGTATGTTTTAAAATAAAATTTTCATAAATATTAGTTGATTATCTTGGGTTTTCTGGTTAGACAATAATATTTTCAATTTTACATGATAATGGTATTCCTCATTTCCTTTGCAATATTTATACTTCATTTCATCTTCCTGTCTTACTGCATTAGACGAAACTTTCAAAACAATATTAAAAAATAGAGTTAATTAAGATAATAGCTGATACATTATTTTCACTGACTTTACATTGGAGGGCATTTCTCTCTTTTGCCCTGTGTAAACAGCTGTTCTTTATCAGGCTTTTTCACGTTTATATCTCCCCCAACCCCCAACTGTTCCATAAATCTGAAGGCAGAAACTGTGTTTTCAGTCAGTTCAGTTGCTCAGTCATGTCTGACTCTTTGTAACCCCATGGACTGCAGCATGCTAGGCTTCCCTGTCCATCACCAACTCCCAGAGCCTACTCAAACTCATGTCCATTAAGTCAGTGATGCCATCCAACCATCACATCTTCTGTCGTCTCCTTCTCCTCCTGCCATCAATCTTTCCCAGCATCAGGGTCTTATCTAAGAGTCAGTTCTTTGCATCAGGTGGCCAAAGTATTGGAGTTTCAGCTTCAGCATCAGTCATTTCAATGAATAGTGAGGACTGATTTCCTTTAGGATGGGCTGGTTGGATCTCCTTGCAGTCCAAGGGACTTTCAAGAGTCTTCTCCAACACCACAGTTCAAAAGCATCAATTCTTTGGTGGTCAACTTTCTCTTATAGTCCAACTCTCACATCCATACATGACTGCTAGAAAAACCGTAGTTTTGACTAGACGAACCTTTGCTGGCAAAGTAATGTCTCTGCTTTTTAATATGCTGTCTAGGTTGATCATAGTGTTTTAGTATAGCGTAAAATAATAGTAGCACTCAGAACAGTGTCCTGTACAAAGCAGATAAACCATAAACCAGTAGTTCTCCAACCTGGTGGATCATTGGAATCACATGGGAGCTTTTTAAAAAATAGACTGCAAGTTCTATAAACCATTTACAAACTTCAAATTCTCTATTCACAGGGGAGACAATCTAGATATTTTAAAAGTTTCTCAGTCCATTCTGATGATCCACTAGATTTGAGATCTAATCTAATATTTTTAACATTCCTGGAGATTCTGTTTCAGAGCCAGGGATATCTGATTTTTAACAAATTTTTCTAAAAGACTCAAAGGCAAGTTTGGAAATTACTGATTTAGATAGTAATTCAGAGAAGAGATCAGAGGCCTTTTTCTCTTTTATGTTTTCTGTATTTTATATTCTTCATAAAAGTAAAAAAAAAAAATTTAGGTTTCATAGTTTATGTCATATGTTAGTTCTATAGTTTACTTAAGTCCTTTAGTTTACCTTGCTAGGTGAATTTCTTAAGAATGGCTGAAGATCTTTTTCATTTAATTGTACTACTATAAGCAGGATCTTTAAAAATTTATTTCTATTTGTGTTGGTATAGAGGAAAATAATTTTTGAATTTATTTTTAACTAACCATTTTACAGGTATGTTTTAAAATAAAATTTTCATAAATATTAGTTGATTATCTTGGGTTTTCTGGTTAGACAATAATATTTTCAATTTTACATGATAATGGTATTCCTCATTTCCTTTGCAATATTTATACTTCATTTCATCTTCCTGTCTTACTGCATTAGACAAAACTTTCAAAACAATATTAAAAAATAGAGTTAATTAAGATAATAGCTGATACATTATTTTCACTGACTTTACATTGGAGGGCATTTCTCTCTTTTGCCCTGTGTAAACAGCTGTTCTTTATCAGGCTTTTTCACGTTTATATCTCCCCCAACCCCCAACTGTTCCATAAATCTGAAGGCAGAAACTGTGTTTTCAGTCAGTTCAGTTGCTCAGTCATGTCTGACTCTTTGTAACCCCATGGACTGCAGCATGCTAGGCTTCCCTGTCCATCACCAACTCCCAGAGCCTACTCAAACTCATGTCCATTAAGTCAGTGATGCCATCCAACCATCACATCTTCTGTCGTCTCCTTCTCCTCCTGCCATCAATCTTTCCCAGCATCAGGGTCTTATCTAAGAGTCAGTTCTTTGCATCAGGTGGCCAAAGTATTGGAGTTTCAGCTTCAGCATCAGTCATTTCAATGAATAGTGAGGACTGATTTCCTTTAGGATGGGCTGGTTGGATCTCCTTGCAGTCCAAGGGACTTTCAAGAGTCTTCTCCAACACCACAGTTCAAAAGCATCAATTCTTTGGTGGTCAACTTTCTCTTATAGTCCAACTCTCACATCCATACATGACTGCTAGAAAAACCGTAGTTTTGACTAGACGAACCTTTGCTGGCAAAGTAATGTCTCTGCTTTTTAATATGCTGTCTAGGTTGATCATAGTGTTTTAGTATAGCGTAAAATAATAGTAGCACTCAGAACAGTGTCCTGTACAAAGCAGATAAACCATAAACCAGTAGTTCTCCAACCTGGTGGATCATTGGAATCACATGGGAGCTTTTTAAAAAATAGACTGCAAGTTCTATAAACCATTTACAAACTTCAAATTCTCTATTCACAGGGGAGACAATCTAGATATTTTAAAAGTTTCTCAGTCCATTCTGATGATCCACTAGATTTGAGATCTAATCTAATATTTTTAACATTCCTGGAGATTCTGTTTCAGAGCCAGGGATATCTGATTTTTAACAAATTTTTCTAAAAGACTCAAAGGCAAGTTTGGAAATTACTGATTTAGATAGTAATTCAGAGAAGAGATCAGAGGCCTTTTTCTCTTTTATGTTTTCTGTATTTTATATTCTTCATAAAAGTAAAAAAAAAAAAAGGCAAGATACACAATGAAAAAGTTAAGCTCCCAGCTGTACCTCCTAGAGACAACTACTGAGAACCAGAGCGGTATCCTTTCAAACGTTTTCCTGCATAAACAAAATGAACATAGAGTGTATGTGTGCATGTTGTGTGAAATTTTCTCTTTGCTTGTTTTTACCAAAACAAAATAATAACCAACCCATTATTTTATAATTTGGCATTATATTTATATCTGTTACTGCAAACAAATGATAATGAATTCTCTCAGGACCATTTAGCCTACTTATTAATAAAATGAAAACTAATTTCCATTTTCTCATCTATAACACACTTAAATATAGCAATGAGTATAAAAATATTTTAATTTCATTTTTAATTCTTTAGCAAATATAGGGACAATTTTGGGAAACTCAGCTAGGAAGTTCAAAGCTAGAAGTTAATATTAATGTACCAAAGGACAATGGGTTCATAAATCAAAACAGCATCTTAAAAACCATGAGGACAGTGGTAATGTAGGAAGGCTAAAAATGGCATATAAGATTTCCTTTTCAACACAAATAATAAAGTACTTAAAGACTACAAAAAGAAATCCTATTATAGATGTTACTTATGCTTCAGCTGTTACTCATCTTTTAGATAAAGGCTATTTTTAATACACAAGCAACATTAAGGTTCAACTGACCTCCACTTAACATGCTTTCATGAAACATAAAAGATAGCACTCAAATGTATGCCAGAAATAAAATTTTCTAAAATAGAACTGCTAATAAAGGGAAAGAAAGTAAATTACTAGCTAAGAAAAAAAAGAGTATATTCTAAAAGACTAAGTGATGACTTTGGTGAAATCACTACATCATTCGTCACTACTAAATGTTCATAGTTTCTTTTCCATAAAGCTCAATGAAACACACTGATTATTATACCAATTATTACATAGTAGAAATAGATATTTCTAAATTCTCCAACAGTGAAAATGAGAAGACAGTGTGGGAGTTGAGGAGAGAATGAGAGAGGAAAGGAAAGCTAAAAGCAAAAAAGTTAAGAAAGACATCTTCCCCTACCAAAAATGAACAAAACTGCAATTTCAGATTCATTCTGCAAGGATCATTCTGTACAAGCAGGATTTAAAGAGAGTTTTAAGAAAATGATGTCTTCTTGACTTTCAGGAATTTGTCAGAAGAATATCTGATTCGGTAAAGTTGGAATGGGGGAGAGAATGTGGTGGGGGACGAAGTAAATCTAAAAAAAGTGTGAAATTAGAAGGTTTAAAGGTTTAAAAATCAAGAGCAGAAAAAAGGAAAGCCGGAAAGAGGCACGGTATCTACTTTCTCGTCTCCTGCTCCTGACCCTTCCCGGGATCCGTGATGCCGAGGCAGCTGCAAGGAGCGACGAACGGTCAGGGTTGAGCCCCAAGTGAGCTGAGGGCTTGCGCTCTTCTGGCCCTATCCTCCGGGCCGCCCCACTTGAAGAAATGAGTGGTGGATTGGCCCCAAGTAAAAGTACAGTGTATGTATCCAATCTGCCCTTTTCCCTGACCAACAATAACTTATATCGGATATTTTCCAAGTATGGCAAAGTTGTAAAGGTTACTATAATGAAAGATAAAGATACCAGGACGAGTAAAGGGGTTGCATTTATTTTATTTTTGGATAAAGACTCTGCACAAAACTGTACCACGGCAATAAACAACAAACAGTTATTTGGCAGAGTGATAAAAGCAAGCATTGCTATTGACAATGGAAGAGCAGCTGAGTTCATCCGAAGACGAAACTATTTTGATAAATCTAAGTGTTATGAATGTGGGGAAAGTGGACACTTTAGTTATGCCTGTCCTAAAAATATACTTGGAGAACGTGAACCTCCAAAGAAGAAAGAGAAAAAGAAAAAAAAGAAAACTCCTGAGCCAGAAGAAGAAATTGAAGAAGTAGAAGAAAGTGAAGATGAAGGGGAAGATCCTGCTCTTGACAGCCTCAGTCAGGCTATAGCATTCCAGCAAGCCAAAATTGAAGAAGAACAAAAAAAATGGAAACCCAGTTCAGGAGGTCCTTCAACATCAGATGATTCAAGACGCCCAAGGATAAAGAAAAGCACATACTTCAGTGATGAGGAGGAACTTAGTGATTAAAAATATATATATTATGTAAATATCATTAAAAAAATTTTTTAAGTCTTGGAGTACCAAGTTCCCTTGGGATTAAAAATTACTTTTAGAATTTGAACATAAGAACACTTAGTACCAAATACTTTTTTACTTTAGATAGTTGATAGGAAATGGTAATTTTATAGTATCATATTTATCTTGCATCAAGATTTGCTAATAATCATTAATCTTTAAAATAGTTCATTTGAATAAAAAAGAAAATGTAATACTATCATAACAATGCTATCCCAAGAAGAAAGTGAAAGTCGCTCAGTCGTGTCCGACTCTTTGTGACCCCGTGGACTATACAGCTCATGGAATTCTCCAGGCCAGAAATACTGGAGTGGGTAGCTTTTCCCTTCTCCAAGAGATCTTCCCAACCCAGGGATCGAACCCAGGTCTCCTGCATTGCAGGCAGATTCTTTACCAGCTGAGCCAGAAAGGTAGATAGTAAAAAGATTTGAGAAGTTCATTATGAAAGTTTATTCATTATAAAAGTTTATTCATGAAATAAATTTCATCTTTAAAACAAAAACTTCATAAAGACTGTGGAAAGTTTGGAGTGATTTATTGTTATTCATGTTAATAAAGTTTTCTCAAGAGACCTTTATTTAAAAAAAAAATCAAGAGCAAATATGTTGAAAATAACAATAATAATTTACAAAAGAAATAGTTTTGAGAAAGGGAAAACGATCAGTGTTGTGGATGATGGAAGCAATCCTAAAAAGTGTCCTGCTGTGTTTTTAGAGGGAACAAGAAAATCAGGGAGACTTACAATAGCAGCTAAGGTTTAGATGGCTAGATATTTGGCAGAAGTGACAAATGGAAAGGAGAGTAATTATTAGGTGGCATCTCCAGACAGCCACTCCTCTCCAGCACCCACCTGTACTCCCTAACTGCCCTGACACAGATTAACACTGTAATACACTTCTCCCTTTTCCAGCTAAACTCGATTTCTCTATCAATCCTCTGGGTGCCATCCACTCTCGTCCGTTAATTAAGGACTTCATTGCATTGATTATCTTTAACCAATCCTCAAACTCCTTAGTTCTTCCTTTTCAGCATGTAAAAGTCCTCATGTTTCTCATATGTAAGACCAAACCAAAATAGGAGAAAAAGTTTCTCCTTATTATCTCCCCACAAGCTGCTCCTGGGAAAAAAGCCTGCTTCTTTCCCTCGGTTCACTCCTCACTCTGAAGCAGTCTGGCTTGAGGCCTCACCATCTGATGGAGGTGGCTTCACTTAAAAGCAACACTGACCTTCTAAGCGCCAAATCCAATCTCCAGTTTTGAGTTCCCATGTTGATTTAATCTTTCTGAAGCTCTCTATACGTTTACCTCCTCTTTCTTGAAAAGCTCCCTTCCCTCAGTATCTAAGCCATCACTCCGCCTTCGTCCAAGGTCGCTAGGGATCCATCTCAGTCCCTCTATTAAGTTTTCCTTCAATTACACCAGCTCAAAAAAACTCCACAATTCTGAATCTCTAGCCCAAACAGATATTTCTATGGAGCTCTAATTCTGGATATGTCCAAAAATACAGCTCTTTCTGAATTTTGACAGTATTTGTACATCTAAAACTAATTCATCACGCTCCCCCTTAAAAAGTCACTATTCCTTAACAGTGGAAGGAGCCATCACTCACCCAGTGGTTCAAGTAACATCTGGGAATCATCTGAGATCTTTTCTCTCTTATTTCCTACATCTAATCATTAGTGGCTAGAAATTCTCTCAAAACTGCCCCTTTCCATCCATTTCATTGCCTTCATGCATTTCTCAGATTATGTCATATTGCAACATCCTCGTTAATGATTTCACTACCTCTAACCTCAATTCTTTGCAACCTAGTTTCTGAAGATCGGTTCACTGTAATTTTTCAGTGGCTCTCAGGTTTACATAAGCTAAAACCTAAACTTCTTTATATGACATAAATGTACCTGCCACTTGCCTTCCTCATTCCCACCACTTCCCAATTCAACTTCACGCTTTAGTAACACTGAATATGTTACTAATATGTGCCCAACTCTTCTGTATATAACACAATTTTCCCACCTGTCTGCCTAGTACATTCTTACATATTCTTAGGTATCTGTTTAAATGCTAACTTCTTAAACAGCATCTCCTTCCTCTATCAGGTAATACTTTGGTGTTCTTTGTATATTCTCAATTACAGTTTTAGAGATCCTTCCATTAAACAATGACCTTACTGCATTATAACTGTTTGCAAGGGCAGCTTAACTAATTAACTGGTTTATATTAGGGAATTAAAGTAGATCTCAGGACAACAGTTACCAAACTATTCCCTAACTTAAAAAGTTTTATAATAATGTATGCTCAGAAATAAAGGTCTTTTAATTAACTTTTTGAGATTGAAGAATAAGACCATTTATTATTTTTGCTTTACTGCTGTTTTTTTATTTGCCAATATTTTTTATTGTTGTTTTTTTGCTTTGCCTAGAACAGTGACTAGAAGAACACTGATTTTTGATACATGTATTGCTCTTGATTTAAATCTAATTTAAAGATCTATAGCATTTACCCAAACCAGTATTTCACTGAACAAATATTGTCTGAGCGAACTATTATTAATATTAGCCAGAAGCAACCCTTGGTGCTGGGAACAGTGCTGACAGTTATGATCTCTACTCCAGAGGAATTTAAAATGTGGAGAAGACAGATGGTTAAAAAGTAATTCTTATAGTGTGTAATGAGAGTGTGACAAGAGACTACAGAAACCTTTATTTAGAGGTCTAACCTGTCTTTTCCCCTGAGCATACCAACCTTAAACAGTGCCTGGAAAGACAGGCGAAAGACAGATGGATAACGAGAGGGGTCGTGATGCCAGAGAGGCCCAGGAAACCGTACCACAGACCCTGCAGAAGGGAGGCTGTGAGAAAAGAGCAGGAGAGACACCTGGAGCCAAACCGGGAAGGGGCCATCCAAGAGAAGTTAAAGCTCTGCACTTCCAGCAACCGAGTCAAGTGTTCTCCAGGAATCACACGACTAGATTAAACACCTGTTTTCTAAAAGCGCCACATTCCTTAACCATAAAGAGAAAAAATGTTCTAAATAAAACTCTTCCTAGACTTCCCATCCTGTGGTACCCACTGTGACTAAGCACTGAGGAAGTACACTAAACTAGGGATGTTTCACTTGCACATCTCCAGGGTGTGTGAAAATGAAAACACTGAGACTCAGAACTCTCAGAAGTGATCAGAGTTCTAACCATGAATTCGGCGTGCCAAGCAACATAATAAATGCTCACTTTTGAAACAGGAGAAGTATGCTTCACCTTTTTATTTGGGGTAGAAGATTAGAGTCTAATCTTTTTCGGTTTCCCATTCAGATGAGTACAGTAAATGGGATCATGCGTCTATGTTACAGGTACATTTTTGTGAAAGTCTGTGACTACTTTAATTTAAAAGCCATGGACAGCAAACTGGAGGAGTTCTTACCATGCAAAATGTTGTATAAATAGTTCCATGTGCACTCTTCATCTGGAGTCTCACTAGAGATGGATAATGACCTTGTATTTTGTACTCATTTACTCTGAATTAGCCAAACCTTCTGTTTTTAATTACACACTTAATTCACCTAGCATGGTCTAATTACAGAAAACAAAACATCATTTAAACAAAAGGTGGCCTTGAACTTAATCTATCAAAACACTAGTTAGTTTTAAAAGTTTTCAGTTCTTAATAAACTGCCAAGACATGCAACAGCAATTTTCCAAATGTGATCATATACTTTTATAGCAACAAATTTACTACATAATCAAACATCTGTATGTACTTTGAAAACTTGATGTACTGTCTCACTATTAATGCGAATCTGCTTAAATTTTGACAGACGTTAAATGAAAAAGTCTAAAAGTTGAAGTACTATGTAATACTTTTTTAAATGTCCAAGATCATCTTGGCCTTGAAATGACGAGTCATCATAACTATGGCTACTTATTTACAAAATGGTCCAGGACTCTGCAAAGGCTCATCTGTGAAATTTCTCCTAACTCCCCGCAGCGGAGGAGCCCTTCCCTCTGTGCCACCATTTCTCTTTACACACCTCTCAATCCCAGCATTTACAGCACTGAATGGTGATCACTGGTTTAAAGATGTCTCCTACCTGGAGTGCAAACTTCATGAAAGCAGAGTTTATGCCTTTTATTTCTATAAATATGTGCTCCAACATGGAGCACAGAGCCTGACATGGAGCAAGTTCTCAATACATGTTTGCTGAATTAATGTTTTTAAATATAATACTGTAAAACTGTCTTAACTTGGAGATGACATGATCTCGTATATACAAAATTCTAAGGAGTCCACCAAAATACTACTAGAACTAATAAATGAGTTCTATAAGGTTGCAGGATACAAGGTCAATATATAAAAATCAATTGTTTTTCTATACAGTAGCAAAGAGCAAACCAAAAATCAAACTAAGAAAAATAATTCCATTTAGAATGACATGAAAAGAACAAAATATTTAGGAATAAATTTAACAAGTGCAAAACAGACTATGAAAATTATAAAACATTTCTGAGAGAAATGAAAGAAGATCCAAATAAATGTGAAGACATCCTATGTTCATGGGTTGGGAGACAATATTTTTAAGGATGAACTACTCCTCAAATTCATCTACAGAATCTAGAGAGTTAATGCAATTCCTACCAAATCACAGCTGACTTCTTTGCAGAAAATGGCAAGCTCATCCTAAAATTCATATGAAAATTCATAGAATTAAAAATAGCCAAAACATACAATGAAACATTATTCAGTCTTAGAAAGGAAAGAAATCTGGTCACAAGCTACAACACAGATGAACCTTGAGGACATTATACTAAGTGAAATAAACCCATTATAAAAAGTTAAATACTACACAGTCAAGCAATTGTCAGAGGTATCTAAAGGAGTCAAAATCATAGAAACATGACAAGGTAGAATGATGGTTACCAGGGGCTGAGAAGAAGGGAAAATGTGAATTGTTTAATGGATATAGAATTTCAGTTTTGCAAGCTGAAAAGAGTTGTGGAGAATGGTTGCATAACAATGAACATAAGCATTATGGAACTGTACAGTTAGAATGGTTAAGATGGTAAATTTTATGTTTTTTTTTTTTTTTACAAAAAAATTATTTTAAAAATAGCTCAAACAATCTTGAAAAAGAACAAAATTGGAGCATATATTTCCTGAATTCAAAACTTAGTGCAGAGCTACAGTAATCAAGATAGTATGTTTCCATGCTACTCCCTCAATTCATCCCACCCTCTCCTTCCCCCACTGTGCGCTCAAGTCTGTTTTCTATGTCTGCACCTCCACTGCTGCCCTGCAAACACGCTCACCAGTATTATCTTTCTAGATTCCCTATATATGTGTCAATATGTGATATTTGTTTATCTCTTTCTGACTCACTTCACTCTGTGTGACAGGCTCTAGGTTCATCCACCTCATTAGGACTGATTCAAATGTGTTCTTTTGATGGCTCAGTAATATTCCATTGTATATACATACCACAACTTCTTTATCCATTCATCTGTTGATGGACATCTAGGTTGCTTCCAATTTACAAATTAAAAAAAAAAAAAGATAGTGTGGTACTGGTAGGAAGACAGGTGTAT